CAGCGGATCTGCCCGGTTAGAGGGCGGCACGTCATCGAGATGAAGCGGGACCCGCTGTGTGAGGTTGGTTGATGGGCGTTTTGAGTTTGTGGGCGGTTAGCGGAGAGTTCGATGGAGTTTTAGTTGACCAAGCGCCCTAAAATCTTTTCACCCTTGCTGAAGTGGGAGCTCCTTGACTAGTCAACATGCCGGCCAATAAGAATCCTAAATTGTATGGAAATATTATTAAGTCCACATCCTATTACAACTCTACTCACGTGGACGGTTCTCATAAGATATGAGCGGAAAGTATTTCCCCCCACTTTTTTTAGTTTGGTTCAAATTGAAAAAAGAAGAAACCAATTGATATGTGAATAGATTCCCTCAATTTCTAGTGTTTGGTTCAAACTAAAAAATCAAGAAAACTTGATTGTGGTCGCCATGGTAAGATTACCACCTTTATAAGATAATTTTATTTCGAACATAAATTGAGAGGTGAACATATATCAACCGTCACATAAAAATATTTAAATTTTTGAGGGACTTGTTTGCAATTTTTAAAAAAGATTTGAGGTAGTGATTTGTAAAATATTCAAAGATTTGAGGGCCTAATTCCAAAATGCTCAATGAACAAGATTTGAAGAAACCCGATGCTCAAGTGAAAAATATGCTCAGTTATAACCATTTTCTTCATTGTATGCCCCGACATGAAATTTATAATAGCAATGTTGGCTGCATGTATTGTCTCGCTAATTGATTCCTAATATAGATTTTGGATGCATACATTAAAAAAAGATCATCATCATGGCATAATATCATAATGCCAAAGACTCAGTTAGTTCTAACATTCCAGCTAGTGATGTTTCTAATACAAGTGTTAGTTCTAGTGGTATGTTGGTTCTAGTTGAGCCCTTGTTAGTTCTAGTGGCTCTCGTGCTAGTTCTACTTGTTGTCATGTTAGTTCTAACATTCCAGCTAGTGTTATTTCTAATATAAGCGTTAACTCCAGTGGTATGTTAGTTCTAGTTGAGCCCATGTTAGTTCTAGTGGCTCTCGTGCTAGTTCTAGCTGTTGTCATGTTAGTTCTAACATTCCAACTAGTGTTATTTCTAATATAAGCGCTAGTTTCAGTGGTATGTTAGTTCTAGCTATTGTCATGTTAGTTCTAAGGCAAGCAAGTTTGTTGTGCTCAGAACAACCCAAAGATGGAAATCAAATCAAAACTCAAACTAAATTATAAAAATTATGCTCAGAAAAGACTCTTTTCTTCATTATCTGCCTCGCCATGAATTTTATAAAAGCAATGTTGGCTACAATGTATTACCTTGCCAATTGATTACTAGTATAGATTTTGGCTGCATACATTTAAAAAGACCATCATCATGGCATAATATCATATTATCAGTGTCATAACAACCAATGTCAAAGACTCAGTTAGTTCTAACATTCCAACTAGTGTTATTTCTAATATAAGCGTTAGTTCCAGTGGTATGTTAGTTCTAGTTGATTGAGCTCATGTTAGTTCTAGTGGCTTTCATGCTAGTTCTAGCTGATGTCATGATAGTTCAAACTGAGCAAGTCTGAAAATTCAGAATAATCAAGTGGCATAGCTCCATCAAATAATAAGCTCAAACTGAGCAGATATGCATGATTGATCTCAACTTGTGCATATAATCATGAAAACACCAAATAAAAGAGAAAAGTACATGAATCCTCAACATGGAACCAGCAAACCAGAGAACAAAATCCAACTTTATCCAACACAACAACTGTGTACGAGATAAGGTTGAAACCACATGCATTGAAAACAAAAAACAGGATGTTGTTAGAAATGAATAAGGCAAGCAAGTTTGTTGTGCTCAGAACAACCCAACGATGGAAATCAAACCAAATCTCAAATAAAATTATAAAAATTATGCTCAGAAAAGGCTCTTTTCTTTATTATCTGCCTCGCCATGAAGTTTATAATAGCAATGTTGGATGCAATGTATTGCATCACCAATATACTATTGCTATAAACTTTATCTGCATATCCTAAAAGTCATAGCCCATCATCATAACACAAAATATGCATACCTCTTTAACTTTAATTCATCGACGTGAAATCATTCACCTTACCCCCACTTGTAAACCTGTCAAACAAGTTTGCATTAACATACTAATAAAATATATAACATGAATCATCAACAAATAGATAGTAGCATTAGTTTTGCAAAAATGTAAGTTTAATACATCTACTATAGTTGTTAGGCAAAAGGATGAGCAATCATCTAACTCATTTACATACAAAAATAATTACACAAGCATTGATATAAGTAGGTAGTTTCACAAAAATGTGTCAAAAGCTAGGTAATCTAACCTTCCACCACTCTAATCAAGAGGTTGACTCTTCATGAACTCAATCAACACCTTCTTTTGCATAATAGTTGGCCTCCCCATAAACAACCTAGCTTGTGATTCATTCTCATACAATTGTTGATAAAACTTATCAAGAATTTCTATGTCAAATTCATCATCATGTGTGAATATAGCTTTTGCCAACTTCTTGGTCCAATGCATACTTACCATGCGCATAGATGAGGTGAATTGTTTAACCTTATTTACTATCTCACTCATAAGTACCGTGTCCTCACTAGATCTCCCCCCTTTCCTTTACGCATCTTTGACATGTCATTTTTAACTTTGTTCATACTAGAAGATGGATTGGATTTTGAGGGCATAGTTGGAACCTTCGGTGGTAGAATATCATTATCATCTAAAGAGACATAGCTAGGCGTGTTCTCCTTTGGCATACTAATATCATCATCATCATCATCAAGACTAAAATGTGCACTACCACCAAATTTATCCAACACATCTACTGCATAATCTCCTCTAGCAACATCATCTCCAATAATAGTTGCAAGGTTTTCATAATGTTTCATGAGCTTGTTGATGTATTCCCTAAGTTTAGAACTATTTATACTCTTGTCCTGCATAGTTAAGGAATATACCAAATCCATATATGGACAACATTGAACAAAATTAGAAATATTTGATAAGAAATGAACATTACAAAATTGTAAATACCTCTAGCCATCTATCAAAGCAAGCTTCATCCATAATTACCATCTTCTTCGCATCATCCCAACCAGCACCGCTCAAGTTACGATATTTTTGCATGTCCAATAATTTATTGTAGATAGTTTTCATACGGTTTTCAACATTCTCGGTAGTGAACGTTGACCCTAATTTTTTATTTATATGAATGGCGGCGCCACGATAAGCGGTTTTTTTGAACTTCTTATCCGCCTTCATTCCCTCTTTAGCACACTTTGCAAGGAAAGGAATTAGCAAATTATCATGTTTACTCTCCCATAATTGGTTAACTCTCCCCTTGCAAGCCTCTTTCTCTTTAGTTCTACGTGCAAGGGCTTTCTTTTTCCTCTTTGGATTAGGAGATGAACTTTCATCACCATCAATATCAATAGAATTCCTCTTGTTGCTTTGACTTTGTTGATTAGGTGGCAGAGTTTCACCCATGCTACAACTTTGATGTTGTAAAGTTGGACAAGCATTTAGCATGTTCATGAATGAAATTGATGGTTGTTGGTCAATTCCCCAATAGTTAGCATCTTGTATTTGGAAATTATTCCAAAAGTTAGGACCTTGGCCAACTTGTGAAGAGTGATAAGGCATAAATCCCGGGTGTAGGCTGTCTAAAAATCACAATAGATAGTTAATCCCCCATCAAACACTGATGATGGAAGTTGCAATCTGACGACTTCCAGAAGGCTACAATTTGAGGACTTTCACGTAGAAGGTTACAATCTGACGACCTTCACAACAACTAATGAAGGCCCCAATTCAACAGCATTCACAATCAACATCGGGAGTTACAATCTGACGACTCTCATATTTTCAAGGAGCCAAGACGAAGATTACAAGAGGACGATCTGTGCAAAGCTCTAGCAAAAGAGACTACAAATTGACGGTCTCTTCATATTAGAATGCAGATATCTCTCAAACCGTAAGGAATTTGGCCAAACGGAGGAAGCGAACCGAAGCCTTCGGCTTGGTTCGGATGGCCCCGTCTCGTCGAGATAGCCGATTTTCATATATAATTCGTCTAATTCCGACTTACGGTTTGAAAGTTATGACCTGTTCTTCGCAGCAAATTATGTTCTGAGGTCCGTCTGCAAGACTGGACTTCATCAGAACATTGGACTTAGCCTGAAGCCCGCCAAGCCCGCCTAAGGTTCGCCTCTGCATTACAGAGTCAAAGCGCACATGCTCAACTCTGCGTTTTCAACATCAAAAC